AACATCTAAAGGTCCAAAGCTGCGGTCAGACATTAAGTTAGCAAAACAATGTCTCAAAAATAGGACTTATCCTTAAAGGAGGGAGAAAAAAGGAAGAATAGAAAAAAACCAGGATCAAGGTTTGTTTAATATTCCTTGGTAATGTAATGTAAAATATTTGTAAAGCTATAGCTTGATAGCAACATGGAACCGTCCAGTTCAACAGCCAAACATTTCTACTCGGGTCTTTTGTTTGTGTGAACTTTAAACTTTAAATGAGTTGATTCTCATGGTTTGCTCTGTATATTTCTGAGGTATTTTTGCTCAAAATGCCATGTTTGATAACGTTTGATAACAATAATTAAAACCTCTCAACGTTTGATGTTGTCTAGCAAAATGTTTTTCCATCAGGCTTCATGGATGAGCTGCTCCATGCTGTAGGTGGGGATTTGTTGTTTGCTGCTTAGCTAAATCATTTTGTGCCTGAACTAACATTATTTTACATCAATTTCTAAATTATGTGAAACTTCTATTAAAATCATTTGAAGGCTCAGAATCAGTCCAGCACCGGTACCGGTCCACATTCCAGGGGAGAAAAACTCACCTGGTTTAAATGAAATGTTTGCTATTGCAGTAATGCTTAAGAGAAATGTATTTAATCAAAGAACATCATGAATATGTGTGTTGGGTTGCACCGATTGCAGTTTTCTGGCCGATCCCCAGTTATTGATCTTGAAGAGCCTGACCTGCTAATTTTGGTTGATATGATTTTTTTGTCTGAAATATTGCTAAATATAGCAAGAAAGTCACTGAGTTGGGAACATGAATATTGTTAACTGTAAACGTTCAGACCTGACCTGGTCGGTCAGTCTGTCAGTCAAACTTCTCACTGTGGAGCAGAGGAGGACAGAGGCTGATTATAAACCTTTGGTGACAAAGATAAGATTATGGGATAAGATGAGATTCACATGTTAGTATCACCCGATCACGATCCCCCAAATTAAGGAAATTGGCACCCAGAAATAAACTGGTAGATAAATCAGTTTGCCAATAAATATATTCTATTATTTGTGTATGTTTATAATATAAACCGCACTGCCAGAGATGCAATACGTTTGTAGCAGGTGTGAGAATGACCTAATCATTGGGCTGCTGATTGCAGTCGGTCCACATTGTTAGCAGAACTAGAGGCCCCCAAAACCAAATTTCGCTTAGGGCCCCATGCAGGCTTGGGCCGGCCCTGGACTGGAGCCTCACTGACTGTGCTGATTTCTGACATGAATGATATGGGTAAATGCCCAGGACATTATCTTTTAGAGAAGTAGAACAAAGAATTTGTTCTACTTTTAATATTGGTTAAATTTATTTCAGCTCTAAGTATTTAATATTTAGGTGTTTCTATGGGAATGGGAATCTTTCAGATCAATTTGATTAGCAATTTTGATAATATTTCACATTTTATTGTGTCATGTAGCGTGGGGCGCTGGTCTTGGTCTTGTCTCGGGTTACGTGATTTTGACTACTACACTGATTAATAGCATACCTATAAATAAAATAATGTGTTAGACATCCTCTAAACTGCAACTGTTAGAAGCAAACAGGGCCAGGAAGAGGCCTCCAGTAAAACTGTTTCTGATCTCAGTTCCCACTGCTCCTCTGGATATTGGATCCAGTGAAATGCATTAGTGTGAATGATGGCCATTGCACCAATCTGAATCTCCCTATGGTCTTTCATTACAAACTAATCCAGTGATGATTGTCATTAGTAAAAAATGCAGTGCTTGTGTGAATATATGCGTGTTCATGAGAGGGAAAAGAGAGAGGGAAAGAAATTTTTAGGGGACAGAAAGAGAGATGCATTTTGGCAAAGCATACGGAATATTAGCCTGGTGATTTATTATCTGGGTAATGATGTCCCTTCTTCCCCAAAGCTGCATTGTCCTTTAGCCAATTAATTTTGAATCTGTTACACCCTGAGAGAGAAACAGGGGGAAGACATTATCAACACTCTCTTCGGTTGAACCCCAGAGTTAAGTGCAGTGCTATATATTTTATTGTAAGCTGTGGCTGGTTAACCCTGCTCTTCTGTCTTTGTTTGATGTCTGCTTATGTGTTTTCCTTGTATTGCTCCCCTATACAGTATCCTCTCTTCTTTAATGACATTGATTTATGCAGCTGCTTCCCACTGCTGCTTTTTTCATCTCCTTCTTAATTCCACCATTTTCTTTTTTTTTTTTTGTTTTTTTTGTTTTCTCAGTTTCCATAACAACTGCGGGGTCATTTTTCAGCTCCTTCCAACACTACGGTCTTAATTCCGTTCATACGACACTCGACTCGCTTTTCTTCACTTGTTGTTCCGGCTGTGCTCTCCATTACGGCACGGTGTCTTGTCATTCAGACAGCATTTTGTTCTCTGTGTTCTTGTGGAGGTAAAACCATTTGGAGAAAAGCCACACATGCCCAACCTTTTGAAGTGTTTCACATTTTGCCACATCACATCCACTAACATTAATGTACAGGGATTCTTTCGTTTTAACAACTGCCTAAGGATTTAACTAACTAGTAAACAGTTTACCTGTGTGTAATTCATTTCCAGTTGAATTTCAACTCTATGTTTTAGAGACATTAGACAACAAATGGCATCTCAAAGACCAAGAAAAAAAGATCAGGGGTGAGGAGGTTGTGGCACAATCAGTTATCTTCAGGTGACGAAAATTGTGTCATTTTGTTTTCAGCCTCATGTCATTGAACCCTTCTTCATACAAAGCCTCTAGCAAACTTCTCATTACCCTCTGCATAAGAAATTCTAATGTGATTGGTCAGAATCCTGTGGGTGTGGACAACATCCTCAACTATTTAACTTCCAGAAGCTGTTATTTCAGCCAAAGAGCAGACGAGATAGTTTTGAAGAGCAATTGTCCGAGGCCAAGAGGAAATACGTTCTGTTGGACCAAAACTCTGAAGTCCCCTGATGGAGCAGGCGAACGTCCCACCAAAGCATTCAATTCTTTTTTCCCTGATAACATGTAAAATAAAATGAGATGCTGCAGCTCGTCAACCATTATTTCCTACTGTGATGAACTGGTGAACTCATAATAGCCATTCCTCTCTGCCATGATCGCTGTGTTTACAGTACTGATGAAAACCACTCATATGTGTCCTGGAGACGGAGAGCTTTGACAAGAACTTGGTGTGTCTTGTGGACCTTGAACGGTGTGTGAGAAAACAATCAATGTGACCGTACTTTGATTGTTCTACTTCAGTCTGGCCTTGCTTGGTCTATAAGCGTAATGGAGCATGTCTCTTCCTCCTCTTTAGTACATATCAACCTGTATTAGTGCTATATATCTCGTTTTGACGATTTGTTTTAGCCAGTTTACAGAGAATCTGCTCAAGACAATCTTTGAAGACAACATATTGAAGGCTGCAATAGACTTGAAACTGGGTTACAATGACCAGATAAAGGTCCAGACCCACATTTAAAACATAACTTACTTAAAGACCAGAAAAATTGTGTTCACAAATCTAGTCTGACTGAAGTTGAGCTAATTTGCAAAGAAGAATGGACTGGAACTTGAGGCTGTAGAAATGTTGAAAGATGATAGAGTTTCACCTTGAAACATTCGAAGTTCTAATCTCAGCAAAAAGGTGATTCTACAGAGTATTGGTTCAGTTGGGCTGAATGGAAATGCACGTCAAACTTTTTAAATTTGTATTTGTGAAAAATTCGAAACTATGTTTCATTTCATACTACACATCAGTGCACTACTTCGGGCTGGTACATACCATAAAATCTTTGTGCTAGTAACAGGACACGACATGAAAACCTTTAAGAGGTATGGAAAATTTTGGAAACTTTTCTAGTGACTTAAAGTCCAAACAATGCAAAGCTTTTCATCTACAAAGTATTTTGTCTTCCTAGCAGCTATCAAAGCCCAAAATGTCGATGTATTGGTTCCTGTCTTTAAATAATTCCTTACTTGCCTGCTGTCACTAGTAAAGAAAGCTGTGCGATGTGTGTGTGTGCGCGTGTGTGTGTGTCTGTGTGTGTAAAGTGTGAGTGAACTGATGTGTTCTTTTGATTGCTATTCCCAATGCATTTAAGTGCACTGATTGTAATTACTAGTTTAGATGCTGAGATTGTCTTGTGATTTTTTTTTTGATTATGGACCTCTGGTCTTTTCTTAAAGTGTGACTGGGTTAGTATGATGACTTTGAATACAAATACCAGTGTCATGGTTTTACTTTTTCATTTTTGAAACAAAAGTTGAATGATTTAGTCTATTATACAAATGAAAATTCCCCCTCTAGGACTACTTCTAGTAAAATGTGGTATATGACTGTAATCAGACTCTCTTTTCTCTACAGCACTTTGGATTGCTTTCTGAGCCAAAGCTCTCAGACTGAGTTTCCTTCACGTATTTTGCATTTACTAATTATGTTTGTGCTGAACTTCAGTTTCACAAGTAAATTAAATCTATTCATTATCAAAAGAAAACTATAATTTTGCTGATATATTGTTATGATATACTGATATACTCTAAATTGTTCTCTTTTTATCACCAAAATATGAACTCTATTGTTAAAACTTTGATGTCTTCAATGTCAAACCACCATTTTTATTTCCATTGCAAAATTTTGTCATTTTTTCTCACCTGCAAAAGAAAATATGTTTCCACCAGAGCCAGGCAATAATCCCACCTGCCCTCATTGATATAACTTCCCACCACCTAATTCTAGGAGTTACTGCTCACTGATAAACCTTGAAAGTTCTTACCTGTCTGTTATCCTTCATAGCATCACTTGTTCTTTTTTCTACATTATCAGCATTGGCTAAAGTACTGGGCAGACTGTCAGCTGCTGTGACATTTTAAAGTACCTGTTAAAGGTTACAGACTCAGAATGTGATGGCAAGAAAAAGAAAAAAAATCCTTAAATATTGTTCACTATCCATTATATTATCTTTCTGCCACAACAGTACACCTACTCTAAACTGCCTGCGTATTTTTTTTGGCCTTTAGGTTTGGAGTGGTACCTGGTTAGAGTGGAGCTGACTGTGACTGATGTAAACGACAACATCCCGGAATGGAGCATGGTTCCTGCTCCCTACCTTGCAGTGGTTTCCCCAGATGCGACTGCAGGATCACTGGTTTACAAACTCATTGCTCAGGATGGAGACGAAGGTCTTAATGGTGAAGTGGAGTACTTCCTGTCAGATGGTAGGTTGCTGTCTTTTTCATTTCATATTAGACTGGATCAGATTTATTTTTATTTCTCAAATCCAAAATGTTTGCATTAATGTAATGAAGACTTTAGTTTTTAGACAATATTTTAACTCATTATTTTATCAGTAGTTCTTTAAGGTAAGTGGAGTTAACTTGTTAGTTAACTAAAAGTTAGCTAGACATGGTAGTTAGGTCCAGCTAACTGGAGATAGTGGATTTAACTTTTTACCTAACTAAAAGGTTAGAGGCACTAAGTTTTGTTAGATAACTAAAATGTTTAGCTAACATTTTAGCTGGCTGAAATATTAACTGCATTAAACAGTACAGCATGAATCATGAACATTAGTTCCACTAGGACTAAAGCATTATAACAATTCACAAAAGCTAATGCTGAAGTGCTGAATTCAGCCCTGTTGTGACCCATCAGGTGTCACTGACATATCATGTGTTACAATAAATTCTATAACCCTCACCACGGTCAAATTTGTTTTTGCAAAATCCTTCCTGAAGTTATACCTTCAGGAACTGACTTTTTTGGAGCAAACTTGTTATGATTCAGTGTGGTGAAGGTGGACCCAAATCCAGAGAGGCAGAGGCATCAAGTAAATGAAGGTTTAATTAAAAACAGGATAAACAAAAAACACAGGGAACACAGGGAGCCAGAGCACAACAAAAACAGGAATCTATGAGGAATAACAGCAAGGAAATTATGTGGGGGGAAAAATGGGATTTAATGGGAGGAACCATCAAAGAGTCACTGAGAATGAGTCATATTTATATTGGGGAACTTGATCACTGAACAAGGAACAGATTAGAAATGGTTTGCAGGTGTGAGGAGAGCAATAGAGACAGAACGACACGGGGCAAGGAAGAGTACACTGAACGAGGAAAATATTCTAACATTAAAGAATAACTAGAAATAAGAAATATTTTATCATAATAATCTAGAATCACTAACTAAAGTAAAACAGAAACACGGCTGATCTAATTAAAGAATTAGAGTAATAAACAGAATAATAATAATAACTTGAATGAATAAATCAGTAAATAAATCCCAAAATAACTCAAAACAAACTAGCAGCTGACAAGACCTTTCACCCATGGTTCCAATTTCATAGTTGTTAATTGTTGCTTACTCTGTTGTTGATTTTGCCTTATTAACCACCTGCTTTCGTTAAAAAGCATGCAGAATATAAACAGATTTTAAACTGATCTATAGTCTGTAGTTCTACTGTAAAGTGTTGTGGATATAGAACAAATGTTATTTGTTGCATCATTTTTGAGTTGTCATTTTAAATAAAAAGTAAAAAAGAAATCCAAATATTTTCCAGAAAGCAATACTCTTATCGCTTTATTATCTCCTGAGAAATGTCTCTTCTTATTTCTCTATCAGAAACAAACATATTTATTGAATAATTCTGAATCTAAATCTCCCATGGTTGGAAGTAATTTTGGGCTTAGCTATATATTGTTTCTCAGTGTTGAAATTGATATTGAATATCCATATTTTCAAAGAAATTAGGAAAACACACAGACGTCGATAGTTTAGGGGTTCTCCCTGCAGCTTATTCGTTGTGGCCATTTTTCACTGTGTGACGAAATGATTCTCCTGCTGAATAGGTTAGAGCTGGAAGCTCTGCTCACTGACAAGTTTTTAAAGTCCTGCTTAGGCCAGTGTGTTCTCAAACAGTCAGAAATGACAGAAGGACCAATGAGCAGTCACAGAATCAGAGGATGTTCAGCAACAACCCGACCCTGTGCTGGTGGAGGGCCAGATTAGCTACCATTTTGGTAGACTTCTTGATTAAAATTCTTTAGCATGCAGTTAGCGTGTAGTTGCTCTGAAGCTTCATATTGAGGTTCTGTAGAATCAAGGTGGAGGCAAAATGAAGCTCCCTGTCATTTGTAGTGTCCAACTGTGGATGAGAAATGACTCTGCAGAGCGCTCCATCATGGCAGTTCAGCCCTGTTGCCGTCTGTGTGTTTTTTTTTTTTTTTTACTGATTTTCAAGGTCTTGTCCATCAATTTGTGTGCAGGTGGCGACGGTCGATTTGAAGTGGACAGGAAGAGTGGCCAGATACGGACAACGGGGCTTCCTCTGCAGCGTGACAGAGAGTACCTGCTGACGGTGGTAGCAGCCGACGGGCTGGGCAGCCGCAGTGCCCCCGCCATCATATCCGTGGTGGCTGGAGCCCGGCCACCGCAGTTTACTAATGCCTCCTTCATCATCGCTATACTGGAAAACACGCCGGAAGGACAGCCGTGAGTTCCCACACCAGTTCTCTGTTATTATAAAAGTATATATAGCGGCGTTTCATTACCAATGTGCACAAAACTTTGTCGATGTTCCGGTGATGTCAAAAAAAAAAAAACATTTTGCAATTGCGGTGTTTCCATTTAATAAAAATCACAATTAAATTATTCATGTGGTAAATTATTAAAAACAAGCCTGTGGCATCATCTTTCAACTACTTCCTGTCGTCTTCTTCGTTGTGGTTTGCACCATAGGAAACAACATAATATGCCCCCTTTAATTGGAAATGTTTGTTCGAATGAGGAGTCCTTTCAATTTTACAGAACTCTGCTAATAACATTTTTGCAAACAACCACACTTTTATAGTTATTTTATAATCTTAGATTATTAGAAATATGTAGTTTGATAGAAAGAAATGTTAATCTTGTTTTTAGACAATGCGCCCATCATAAAATCGGGACTGCATTTGAACAATTCAGCAACTAGTTAATGTAACAAACTAGTTGTTTCTGAAATATGTGAGGAGTAAAGAAAAGACAAAAAAAAAAAAAAAAAAAAAAAAAAAAAAACACGACGACTGCATTAATAAGGCCAAATTAGGAGCTTTATATATCTCCCTAAACTGTGACATGACCCGCTGATCCATCAGCATGGGTTCACGTGTAATCCAGAGCACCTGCTTGGACACAGATGCACTAGAATGGCAGCAGATTCTCTCCAGCAGCCGTGAAAGAGCCTTAATCTAACACAAACAGATGTGGCAGACATTGGCCCAGTAAACAAACCACTGGTGATGAGGCATATGGAGATTTTCTTCTGTTTTTTATTTATTTATTTATTTATTTAGTTTGCACAGCAGCCTTGTTTGGAACAGCAGGCGGAGGAGGGATTATTCTTATTCAATTTAATACTCCCGTCGTAAAGCCAGACATATACATGACTAATACCAACTTTAATGCACTGTGAATGCTTTTTATTGGCTTCTGTCATTAAACTCAAGACTTGGGCACACAGTAATAAATGGATGTCACTTTAAGTCTTAAAGGAATTCAAATAACACTTGTTCCAAAGTGCAAATACTGTGAATTATTCTTTATGGCCTGTGTCGACTTTTCAAGGTTCATTTTACTCAGTTTAATGTCAGACTGCCACATAATCAACATGCTGCAGAGTATAATTTCCACTGCACATGAACTGCCACCGATGGAGCAGATTTAAGCTTCATTCTGACCTGATTTTTTCATGTTTTCTAGTGTTTATATTTAACAACGATGTAATATTATGCACTGTGATGAAATACTAGAAGCTCTTTACCGCACTGCAGTGTCACTATTTACCATGTGTTAGCATTTTTCATCTTTTCTATCACAAAGAGCTTCCAAAAAGAAACCTAGTTTAACAATAACTGATTCTTGCTGTTAGATTTGCAAGTCGCACATTTAATTCAGTTAAATTCGCAGTGTGAAATGTCAGTGTCTTGTGATCTCACTCTGTGTTCATGCTGTTGTTGCAACTTCACTAACTTACCAACCATTTTATAATGAACAACAAAATAAAATGTATATAAAAAAAGATGGTAATAATCTGAGCAGTCAGATCAGGGAGAATATGATTCTAAGGTTAGGATTTGATTATGTATTCCACAATTAACTTATTAAAAGGTACAAAATCCCTTCTGTCACTCATGTTTAGTGATGCAAATGAAATGATGTAAAAGTTTTCAAAATACTGCTGACTTTTGGCCCACTTCAGTATGAATGTTGGTTCAAAAGATCACCAGTTCTTGTTAATTCTTGTAGGGTCAAACTGCATGTTTGAGATCTCCCTAAAGTGGCTCAGTGAAGCAGAGGTCATAAGACTGAGAAGATCAAACCAGAACCTTCACTTCTTAATGTTATGTTGCCCATGGCGATGGTTGACTTCATGTTGGAATTTCCAAGTATCAGCTCTATTTGAACAGGGGTATTGTGTAAATTTGACCTTTTTTGAGATTTATTTGCTTATTAAAAATGTACCTGGAAGGTTGCTTTGACTTATTTATTTTATTTTTTTTATGTTTGAGGATTCTTTGAATAACCAATGGCAACAATTTGGCGGTGCCTTGCTCATATAATTCACTGCCTAGTTACCCAAAGCTCCACCTTCTGAGCTCATTCTACGATATAGTTCTCGTTCTAATGTTGAGAACAATTGTCAATGGCATTATGGAGGAGTGTTGTTGTGATACTGCGCTGAAAGTGGAGGTTTGGATCTAGACAGATCTTCTTAAAGAGTTTCAAGGTGTTCAATTATCTTAAGTTATTTTTGATCTATGCAATATTTTTTTAAAATATCGTATGTTGGAATTTCCAATTATTCAAGTAACCTAGTTATTTGAGTGAGCTATCAAATTACACTATGTGCCTGGAAAATACACAATACTGCCTCTTTAAGTCTTTCTCCAGTATTTCCTGACAACAGACAGCTTTTATCTTATCAGTGATTCACCGCCATGCTTCACAGTAGGTTGTGCTTTTCAGATGCATTGTTGACACCTCTCCACATGTAACGTTGATGATTGTGGCCATAAAGTTCTGTTTTGGTCTCATTTCTCCAGACATTTTTAGGCTTGTTTCTGTGCTGTTTGGCTTAGTAACAGCTTTCTGCTAGCGACTCAACCATGTAGCCCATTTTCCCCAAGTGTCTCCTTATTGTGCCCCTTCAAACAGCTGCACAACAATTCTTTTTTAGAAAGCCCTGTGTGTGTGTTTGTGTGTATTTTATTTTTTCATTCTGAGCACATTTTTGTTGGTCTACCTGACCATGGCCTCCTTTCAACAGAACAAATAATTTTTCAATTCTTAATTAGTGTTTGAAGACTCAGTTTGGATTTCTAAATGGTCTGGTTTCAACTGCAGATTGATGTTTTTTATTTAAACAATTTCTGTGGCTAGTTGAGAACAGAAAATCTCTAGACAGTGAGGCGAGTCACCAATAAGAATATGCTGCAATATGCATTCCTCTTTGGGCTTTTTTTTGTTTACATTTCTTCCATTTTTTTCTCATTAGCCAGTCGTGCACATGGTGCAGATGTGCAGCGCTCATTCTCTTGCTGCGACTGTGGAGGAGAATAGGCTCAGTCATTAACCTGCCGCATTTTGTTCCTTCTGATGTCTTTGCAGCTCACACTTCTAACTCACCTGGTCTGTTTTGAAAAACACACAATTATCAGAAATTTCTTTTCACAAGCTGGATTTTCAGAAGACTAAAAATAGGAGCCAGTAGGAGTTGCAACAGCCGAGCTTCTTCTTAGAAAACCGGCACTACAGTGTTTATCTGAAAACTCAACATCAGTATTTTATCTTGGTACTGTTTCAGTTCTGTTGTAAATATAAAATCTTTGTTTGGGAATTCATGTAGACTTAAAATTGAATGTATTGCTCATTGAAATAATAAACTGCCTTAGTTTGAATGTTGCCTCCATAAAGGTAATATTGGTTATTTTAAATACTCGCTTTTTAAATTTACGACTTAAAACATGCACAAGGCGATACAATGACATTCTGTTGGCAGCAGTATGCCAGACAAAAAACCGTATATTATATTTTCACATGTAAAAATGTAATATATATATTTTTACATGTAAAAATATAATATAAAAGTTCAAATGAGCAAACGTTATTGGAAAAGCAAAATATAGGTGTAGCCACTGGATATGTGGTTAAGCTAACTCATGGTTTCATGTCTCTAGGTGACTCTTCATTTTGTACACCTACAATAGTTGTCAACATGAGTGAGATTCATAAAACAAATAGTTTCTTCAAAAAAATCTAGAAAGTGCAGCATTTTTCAATTTTTTTTTTACATTTATGCAACCAGTATAAATAAAGTGTAAAACTGGAATGACTATAAGATATTATCTAAAAAAAATTGCAAAATACTATGAAAAAAGAATAGTTCTGCAAATACATTAAATGCAGATGTGGTAGAAAAGAGCTTCAGGTTCATTGTGTATGGCTCTGGAGCGACTCACTTACATTGTCAGAGGAAAAGGAGTGAAATTTGAAGAAACATGGTCACCGATGACTGAGTTTCTGAAACACTACAAAGGACATTAAGAGAACTGTGCAGAGATTGCTGAGTTTTTTAAAAAATGTTTTATTTATTCTTATTTATTTTTTTAGCATTGTTTATTATTGTTTATTTGTGTTTGTTTGCTTTGGGGACTAAATTACTTAATGATAATCTGTATTGAGTGTATCACTGTCACTTGTTTTTTATTTTTTTTGTCTTATTCTTGTATGTTATAAAAATTCAATAAATTTGCATAACTAAAATAAATAAATAAATAAATAAAGAGCTTCAGGTTAACAGCATTCTGATGGGTTAGGTGTTTGCTCAACGGCATTAGCAAGAAGTAACCGCAGCTGCTCATAAATCTAGGTAGAGTTGTACATTTATTTCCATAGTGATACGTTCCATTACTCTGCAGTGGGAAAGAATCTTCTTGAATCCTTTATTACGAGCTAGTTTTGTTATCTGCTCAGGAGTGGCCATCCCAGTTTGTTCAACATTCGAGTCTTCAGTTCTCAGAGAAATTAGAGATATGGAGAAAAAAAATGTCAAGGCACGTAGAATGTTCTCTAAACCATAAAAAAGGTAAAACTGCAGGAAAATGGTTAAAAACTCGAGACGTGTAATTTTCTTTCACACACTGATAAAATAATGTTTGGATAAATTCTGTTCTCCTGGTAACTTTCCTCTTTGATGTGCCGATCCTTTCTAATATTAAAGTAGACAAGATCTTTTTAAAGAGAAAACTGGAGCAATAAAAATAGTCTAAAAAAGTTTTATAAAAACTTTCAAAGTTCCCTTGATAAATTTATTAAAAGTAAAAAAAAAATGAAGATAAGAACATTTGTGTTTTGTTGATATTTTCTTTGTTTCTTGGCAATAAATCTCCTTCTGTTGGAAAGCTTGTGTAAAACGTTGCAACGTAAAACATTGCCAACTCACAAAAGGCATTTGTGAGTTGAGCAGCAGATTTAAGTATTTGTGCTGCATCCATGAAAAACCTGCCGATTCCTTTCTGCCAGTGCCAAGAGACTTGTCCTGGTGTAGACTTTTGATTGGTGTTTATTTGGTTGGACACTTGAAGTTTTGGAAATGTGGCTATTAATTTGTTTAATAAATGGGCCACACCAGTGTGTGGGAGAACTGTTAGTCGCCAACTTGGTCACACACTGCTGTGGGATGGCGTCTCGTTCCCTCAGAGGCTGTTAAAGAAAGCAACTGAGTGGACAACAACCACAGTTTTTTGTCAGGCCAAACACTCTAGCGGCCCATTTACACAATCACACACACACTCATACACAAATAGATGGGCAGGTGACTTGGTGTTAAGTGCCTTGCTCAAGGCCACATTGACAGGTCAGGAGGAAGGTGGAATCAAACACACAACCTTTAAACTGTAAGACGATGACACTTCCTACTGAGGCACAATCAATGATTCCTACGAGAACAGCTGAATTCTACTTCACGTTCCACAGATTCAGGTTTTGGCAAAATGTGAACTCAAGAAGTAAAGCATAGTAAAAGGTGCTTCTTTTTCTGGTCATCTATTTTTTTATTAGTTTCATTTATTCTAAATTTTTAATTCAAAATAAATTAACAGCTTTGGTGTTTCAAATTTTTTGAAAGAGGCAGTACTATGCAATCAAGTATCTTTGTTACCTTCAGTTATGATAAAAAATGCTGCATAAGTCAAATATGACAAAGTCAAGTAAGAAATTTGACTTTGTAATTCAATGCCTTGAAGTTGGGCCCTTTTCATCAATGGAAAGCTCAGAATCCAGACTGTCAGAATTTGTAAATAACTGAAAACGCTCCGAGAAGACGTGTTCATGATTTTATTGTGGCCAGTCACATTTACTGCACCGTCTTTAGAGGATCACAGACAATGGGTTAAGAGACTATCCATTCTCTTACCCCCTTAACCCATTGGGCTCTGGAGGGGTGCTGGTGCCTAACTCCAGCTACCAATGGGCGAGAGGCCGGGTCACCCTGGACAGGTTGCCAATCTATCGCAGGGCAGAGACTAATAAATTCATATTGTGTTATTCCCAGGACAATTTCAAATTATATGGTTGTGAGCGTTTGTTAAATGGTGTGTTTCCCATTTAACATTTTATCTTTAAAAAGTTTGAAAAACACTGACCTAAGCCTTTTTTTTTAAGTTTCACCTTGGTCCAAAAAAAGAGTGCTCTAAGAAAACAATATGCTTGATTGCTTGAAAAGTAGTGCCTCAACACAAAAGGAAAAAAAAAATACTTGTACCAAAAAAATTTACCAAATTTTTCTGTTGCAGAATGCCTTTCATCATTACTCATTAAAGCAAGTCGAGTGAAAAGAAAAAAGGCAAAATACGTCATCATCAACATTCCTTAAGGATTTCTATTAGGCCTATCTTGTCTTACAAGACTGTGTAAGACAACAATTCTGATTGTTACACTGTCAGTCATAAGAAAAACATGAAACACACAAAAGGAAACACTCCTGAGGTTTTTCACCCAGAGAAGTTGAAAACCTCCTTTTCCCATGAAAAGGAGGTTTCATAGGTTTCATAGATTCAGAGAAGGAGAAAAGAACAGAAAGAGACGGAGGAGGTTCAAGCCATGTCTTCTAGCGACCATAAAGGATAAATATCATATCTGAGCAGAGAGGCACCGTCGTCTCTATGCTCAGGTTCCTAACGATGCTACCAGATAGAGACTGAAAAATGAGCAACAAAAGCAAATGAGTTTGATTAGCAGTGATTGCCAACAACTGATGATATCATGGAGGAAATGTAACCGTGAAATTTTGTCTCTGTTGCTATTAGCGTTTCATTGTGGTCATGTGAGTGTCAACAGTGTTTTCAGTGGGAGATTTCTTCAGACTTGTTGGGAAACTGGTGATCCTTTTGTCCACGTCATCACTGTCATACCTTTTGAAAGATACTGGGATGATAGAAGTTATGACAACTTTTAGTTTCTCTTTGTGATAAAGAATTTCTGAATTGAATTGAATATACTTTCAATACCGTTTCAATAAATATTTTTGGAGCAAAACGTTTCTGCTAGTGTACGTTTGACCTCTCATGGCCGAATGTCACTGAGGCCCAACAGTTCACTGGTTATTGGGATGTTTGTCTGTATTCTGCTCTATAAAAATCTCATTGCAGGAATAGATTACCATCTCTCTCTCTCCTTCTGTTTCCCCAGGTTTCTGGTGACACCTGCTGTGTCTTTCCAAAAGAAACCAATCAGCTATAGCCTCCTCATCAATCCCAGCAGTCTGTTCTCCATCTCAGCAGACACAGGCGAAATCAGCTTGACCCGCACCATCGATTACGAGAGTGACCAACATCGTTACTTGCTTCTGGTGCGGGCCAGCGAGGGCCAGGACAGCATGAGCAGTGCAGCAGAGGTTTGTCCGTCTGATGTGAATTCAAAGTCACGCTCCCATTGTTAAATGCAACGACTGCCTGGTCTTCAGAGTGCCCCTGTCTGACTCTGCAAGATTGTGTCATCGCTCTTCCCGAAAGTGTGTGTGTGCGCGTGTGTGTGTAATTGTAATATGGGGGTCAGAGATTGACGGGTCTTTAAATCTTTATCGTTAGGCAGCTAATGATGGATGGCTGAGATTTTTGCATATCCTTCTGCTTTCTATGATCTACCGGATTTTAGGCTAATCATATATTTAGGAAACATTGTGAATTAGTGCAAGAGGTTGGTGAACTCCCAAAGAAGGTTCTATCAGTATAATTAATTTTTCAAACAAGAGAACAGTCTCACTTGGTATAAATATCTCACATTGGACAGTGTCAGCATGCTTTTGAAATTAGTTTTCACCCATTTCAAACTAAGAGCACAAATATGTTTAGCGCATAGTGCGCAAATGTGCTAAGCACAAAATTAGCTCTGCTGTTAGCGCATTAGTGAAAATGTGCGCCTGCCACTGCATTCGGATGTTATTTTGATGCATACCACTTACAACTTAATCCATTTGTTACAGCAACATTCTGTTCCACTATATTGTTTCTTGGAGACTAACCAACCTGATGGTAGTCAGGCTGCAGAGGTTTTGATTTTGCCTCTGAATTGTCCACATGTCAATCCAATCAACAGCCTCTGGACTGTATAGGATAAGAAGCTCTGATCCATGGAGGCTCTACCTTACAATGCTGAAATGATCTGCTGCTGAAATCTTAGCCTCATATGCTGCACACCACATCACAGCTCTAATGCTGCCCAATGTCTGAGCTTATCAGGACTGTTTTTTGGGGCAAAAGAGAAAGTAAAACTGGCAGGTGATTGTATTGTTATGGTGGATGATTGCCTCTGTAGGATCCCTGCTTGAATCATAATATACTTGAACTCTGGAATGATTGAGAACCACAGGTTCGGATGGCTTTTATATTGTTGCATTGTCCTATTTCTAATTTCAATGTATTGAAACAAAGTGTTTGATGTCAGTTTATGTTTGCTGGTAGGTTTTACCAGTTTAGAGTTTGTCATTTAAAAAAAAAAAGTTTGCTTAGACAAGATCTGCATTCAATTATGTCAAATGTGAGATGTCAGCAGACAGAAGCAGCAAATAGAAGCCTGTGGGAAATTCGGTTTCTTGCCAGTAGTTGACAACCATTTTTTTATTTTTTCCAAAACAAAAGTAAAAACAATATTGAACCCAACAACTCTCGGGTGTCACTTTCATTGTAAAACTTGGGAGATAACTGCATGTGTCCACTTAAAAAGTGTAAACCCTTTCATCACTGAAGCCCTAACAGATTTGTCTGACTGGGAATGACAGCTGTGGGACTCCCAATGACTTCCTCATGTTGTCAGGATGTAAGACACAACAGAGGCTGAGTGCTGCAGGCGTTGAGGCATCTGGTCTGGTTTCCATCATTACTCTGGCCTCGGGCTAAAACATGTCCTGCTGAACCGATCTGTCCTCAGCTGCTCCACTCTGGGACTCTGTGGCCAATGGAGATTGAGACGCCTGTGTGAAGGCAGAGTGGGAGAGTGAAAAATGATGGATTAGGAAAGGAGAAGTGAAGTCAGAGGTGAGAAATCACTAGACAGGTGAAAGGAAAGGGAAACCTTAGGTGGGGTGTGTGTGAGCTCTTTTGGCGTTTATGACGTCCTAATCCTGTTGAATCTTCCATTTTTCTCTCAAGATGGCTCTGCTTGTCTCAACGTTATTTTTGGCTTGATAAAAAAAAAAAAAAACAAGACTTGCCTCAATTACACAGATGTATTACTGGAAGCCATCCATCCATTTTCTGTTCACCCTTGTCCCGAGTAGAGTCGGGAGGTGCTGGTGCCTTTCTCCAGCTACGTTACGGGCGAAAGGTGGGGAACACCCTGGACAGGTCGCCAGTCTGTCGCAGTATCACTGGAACGTGAAACCTTTTTCTCATCCACTTTAGTTTTAGCTTTGCATATTTTAGTTGCTTTAATCTCACATACAGTGTGTATAAAAAGTATTCCTTTTTATACATACAATTTTAAGTGTTTTTATATATGTGTAAGAGGACTGTGTTACAGATGGAGATGACAATTTCCCAGTGTGGAAATCCCAAAGGGATTCATAACATTTTCTACTTAACGACCCATCAATCATGATCAACAAAATTTGGCTTTTTTCCTTACATAAACAAATGACCAAAAAAGCATTTCATGTCAAAGTGGCAACCAATTTTTATAAAAATTAATGAGGATTCAATCAAAGCATGTAACACAAAATAAGTGATTGCGCAGATATTTACCCCCTTTTGTAACTGACCAATTTCAACAGAGGTTCAGCCAATTAGTGCTCGTATTCTCACAATTACTGGAATGAAGATCACCAGAGTATTTGTTGTACGTCATGGTGTTTCTCTTTCTTCTGAAGTCACAGGTGGCTACGAGAGAAGCCTATAGATGTTTGATAATCTTTAAGTCTTCCCTCATAAAGGTGCAAACCAAGATGTTCAGTAAACCTGCTGCCAGACTGGTATAACCCTTGGAATCCTACCTTTCAGCTACACAAAAGGCAAACGCAATGTACAAAAAATTAAATACGTCTGACACATTTTCAGACATTTTTAGAACAGCTTGTAGCTACAGTAGCTGGAAGTAATTGATCGTGACTTTGCTTTAATTTCTGCATGACCCAGATTGAAATGACTTTTCAGCTGTCTGACGGATTGCCCTATATTTTGGTATTTAGACTTCTTGATCAGTTCACTCAATGTAAGCTGCCGAGGGGCCTGTACTATGAAGCAAAGTTAGTGGTTTGTTAAGCTAACTTTGCTCAATCAGGTCAAATGTTTTTATTTTTTTTTAAGTTACATGATGTTGGTTCCTTTCTTACCTCTGTCTATCACCTTGGAAACTTATGCTTGAAACCCAAATTGCTCTAAGGACTTTTTGTTGATGAGGCTTAATGTGATTCATCCCAGAGTTTTATGATTATGTCTAATTTTCTGTGGTCTCAATTTAATGGTAATTCTTGATTTGAAAAGGTTCCTTGTTTTACTGAAACTGTTAGACAGTCCTCATATTGCTTGTATTGTTTTTAAAGAATGTTCAAAATTACAAACTATATCATGTCCATCCATCCATTTTCTTTACACCATTGTCCCTAGTGGGGTCAAGAGGTGCTGGTGCCTATCTCCAGCCAACATTCCGGGAGAGAAGCGGGATCATCCTGGACAGGTCACCAGTCTGTTGCAGGGCAACAGACAGACAGGACAAACAATCATGCATACAGGGATAATTTAGAGAGTCCAATTAACCTGACAGTCATGTTTTTTTTGGACTGTGGAAGGAAGCTGGAGGGAACCCATGCATACACAGGGAGAACATGCAAACTCCGTGCAGAAAGACCCGGGCCGGGAATCAAACGTAGGCCCTTCTTGATGCACGGCAACAGTGCTACCAAAGGAGCCGCTGTGCAGCCCAACTGTATCATGTCCATTGCAAAATTACATGTCATGAGCTTTGACACAATATGTCACAATATGTATACATTCATCAATTTTTTTTTAATTTGTAGCCAGTACTTCCTCTATCTTCATTGATTGGTCTACTCATTTCATCTTCATCTATTTTAGACAAATACAAAGAAATTCAGTGTTAATAAGTGGAGCTAGCCCAACCAAGTTATCGGCAAGCTGCTTAGTAGCTTTATTTTAGTCCAATTTTAGTACCATATGTGAGTAAGCTGTGTCAATAGTTCTTGTCAGGTGTTGTTTTCCCCCTCCCCAGGCGTTAACAGCAGTTATCAAACCTCTAGTGAAAAAGAACTATGAACCAACAAAGTTGCTATTGTAGAATTACAGGCCAATCTCCTATCTTCCAAATGTTTAGAAAGTTAAATAGCTCTTAAAACTGCCAATCGCTTTGATGCTTTTCAGTCCTGTTTCTGTGCTCACCGTAGTACAGAGACTGCCCTCAAACACAAGCTTCAAAATTTTAATATTGTGCAAATAGAAGTATTTAATTCCGGTGACTTACTTCTCACTTGCCACATCTACAATTTCTAGACAAGCTATCTTATTCCATCCATAAATCCTGTCATTGTATTGGTTATTTGATTTTCACTGAACATCATTCTTTGGGTTTTTAGTAAAGTCAATTGTTCTCTCTCTAGATTGAAATTTTTTACAAAACGTGTTGAAGCTTAAGGTGTGCTTTCAAGTTCCAGTTAGAAAGAAGTCACTGTCCTGTCAATCTTTCCTAAACAAGAGATCTTTTTTTCTGAACTTACTGTCATGAACCTAAATGTTTAACATGCTATGCTGTGTTTAGCCTTTACCATTTAAGACACAACTCTTTAGTGTGTAGTGTTTCCCTGAACACTATACACTACACATTTTTGGACAGAAATTCTAGGTGCAGCCAAGATGTTTAGGGGTGTTTTGGTGGCTTTTGGATCACGTCTCTGCTTTTTGCAGATTATGTGGTCCTATCATCATCCATGGTCACATGCTTTGGATTTTAACTGAAAGATCAAGATCCTACATCATCAGGATGAGAAGCTTGGTCATTCAGGCAGAACTCAGAGTAGAGCCACTGTTTCTCCACATTGAGAGGAGCCAGTGGAGGTGGCTCGGGCATCTGGTTAGAATGGACACCTCAGTTGCGGTGACTTGACCCCTGGTGGCGCCACGAGTAAAGATGCCTGGAAAAAACAGAAAATCATAGATATACGGATGGACTTTTAATGTATCTGCTGTTTTAGATCTTTAACCAGGTGTGGATTAAGAGGTCTTTCACTTTTAAAGACTATTTATTAGTTCTAGTACCCCTAGACACTGAGTTAGTCTTTGAAAATATTTAGTTTTACTGTAGTTTCTCAGTTTCTAAACTACATTACGTTCTACAGTTGAAACCTGAAGGTTTGTATTCATACCATAGAGCTTAGCCTAATGTCATTCA